GATTTGATTTGGGCAACAATGCACAGAGAGTTCCATAACTGGCACCTTGGAAGATCTGAAAATATAAATTAATACCACTAGAGGTTCTGACAGAGTTAACAAAGACCGGTCCTCATAGGCTCACCACAAATGGAGAATAAAAAGATTGAACACATATTTCCTGGTCTAGTGGATCAGGYTTCTCTCAGGGTTCTCTGGACTCCGGTGGTCTCCACAGCTGTATGTCATGAATATGTAGCTCATATCATGAATTTATGACATGAGGAGTTAGATCASTTCTGATATGAGAACTTACAGTGTCTCGTTAGTGATAAAACGATCTTCACCAGGACACCCAGGAAGCAGACATATTATCTCAGACTCAAAGTGAACTTCATTGTTAAAAGCAAAGAGTAAACATGTAAAATATGAAGTAAACAAAATAATTATAGTTGATTGAAAATCTTTACATTTTGAACCATGTGTAAGGAGGGAAACCTCCCAGCAGCAGTGAAATGAAGACCATGGAGCTCTCAGTTCRCTTTATTTAACCAGACAGAGCCCATTGAGATCAGGATCTCTTTTCCAAGGAGTGGTCAAGAGGTCAGCAGCACACCTCACAGGGTAGTGAAACAAAAGTTACATTGTAGAAAAGAAAAATATACATAAAATACACATTACACAGATTTAGACAATGAGTCGTACAAACAATAGATGAGGCAAAGTAGTAATCTATGCATTATAGATATTTCAAGACTTAATGAAATGACATTTGAGAGTTAAATTACCAAGTTTAGGTTGAGTACAGACTGAAAAATAGAAGTAACATGTACAGTAGATTAGGCATGGGCCAAATACCAGTTTCAAGGTATACTGTGATATGAAAACATCACGGTTTGAAAACCACTAAAATCTTCTGTCATACCGTGCCTACGGTAAAAGTGCTTTTTTCCCTCAGGTCTGTTCTGCTGCAGACTTTCCCCCGCGCACTCCTGCAGAGCTGCCTGTCGGCACTCTCTGAAAAACAGAGTTCCCCAAGCTTCCCCCTGTCTAAAATCATAAATCCAGCTATATGAAAATACGTAGGATGCTGTAAAGACAACAGCGATGTGAGCTGTGATCGTAGCTCCAGGTTAACTTATGCTATCTTAAAATGAACGAGCTAACGTTAGCATCAGATTGTGAAACACATCACCGTGTTGCTGTGGCTTAATGCGCTGATCACAACTTGTCTGTAAAACTGTTTGTGTTGTTGGATTGTGTGTTTGATACGTTTTAAGTGAAAGGTGATAAAACTGAATGCTGAGCAGCTTGTTAGCTGAACGTGTTTCATAAACACACATTCATAGTTGTGATTTCTTGTTTCTGTGTGCAAATAATTATATAATCTTTGTCAAAAACCCTTTTGAAATTTAAAACACAATAAAAACCTTTAACGTGATTCATTACTTGAATAAAAAGACTTGTCGTGCAGTTTACACTGATTTGTCTTAAATAATAAAGCAATAGAAAAGCAGTTATCTTATTAGATGTAAACTTTATCAGGATAATCTTATTACATTAGATGCTAAAAATCAATAAAATACAGATGCACACAGGTAAATACAATTTCAGCATAACACCTGAGTTCTAAAAACAGCTTCCAAAGATAGTTAAAGTTAAATATACAGCGGGTAAAATAAGTATTGAACATGTCACCATTTTTCTCAGTAAATATTTTACTAGAG